AAGCTGTTCATGTAGTACCTGGTCAACGCAAAGGAACTTCTGTTTCCATGTCAAAACTGTGAAAGTGAGTAGTGAGATGCACTGAAAAATCTATCGTGAGACTTCTGAAATGGATCCCACATGCTGACCCCACTCCTGCACCAATGCATCAGTGAGGACTCAAGCTCCTTTGCTGGTCTTTATGAGAAATATTTCATTCCCTGGCATCAGCTAAATGGCTACTTGAAGATCTATTGTAGTTTCACCAAGCGCTGTACCACAGTAGAAATGCCCAAGACTTGTTATACCAGTCTTGTCTACCTGTTCCTTTTAGTTGAAAGTGTTGTGAATTTTCATGTGAGGTTGCGCACAGCTGGAGAGTTACCGACACTGATAGAGTTCTTCAAGAAAAGTGATCTGCATGTGTATCTCATGTTCATCTTCTCTACCTTTTCATCCAGAGTTAATCTGGTGCTTGGCTGTGTTGAGATTATGTGGTTGAGAGGGCATGAAGATGGCATTAAGTGTATGCCTGGGCTGAGCTGGAAGGATGGCAGAAGTGAGGGTATCATGTACAAATCAATAATTAAAAGGAAAAAATGTCTCTTCTCTTAAGCAAGTGGGCTCCCGTATGCCCACGGTATGAAGGTACACAACTGTCGCATCTCAGAGGGCTCTTTTTGCCATGTCAGTATAAGTTTTTTATCTCAGTGTTGTATTTCTGTTTTCACCTCGTAGAAAGGAGATCACAATTAAGCGACATAGGGTTGAGTGGAGTTCTTGTGTGTCTGCAATTTTAACCAAGAAAACTCTTCCACTGAGCTTTAATCCCCACTCCCACTAGTGTTTTGCAGGCAGTTATTTTCTCTGTATTTTAATTTTTCCCTTGTGCTGAATGTTGCTTTGTTTCTTATTTCACTCATTCTTTACATCCTCTCTGTCTGGTCAGCACTTTTTCCTCCCATTTTCCTGTATCAGCTTCTCGAAGCCATGTTTCGGTCTAGCTGATTCATTGTGAGAAACACAAACTTTTATACAGTGCACTTAATAGGTAGGTGTTAAGCAGGCAATTAGGAGAAAGTATCAAAGAAACAGTGGACCAAATTAATCTATAGTGCAACTCAGATTTGCTGAAATTCTCAGGTGTGAGGCATTGCTGCTCTCTGCCAGGGTAACTCTTATTAAATGGAATAGCCCTAATTACCACCAGCATAAATGAACTAAGGATCAGGTTGTCATCCCTTTAGTTAATGTAAAGTTTCATGTTAAGCTGTTAGTCAGGAAAATATAGGCAATATTTTAGTAGCTCAGGAAGGCATAATTTTCTAATGTATTTTTTTCCTTGTTCTCTGCAAGTTTCTGGTCACTAATACAAGTGTGTACCAACAGAAAATCATCAGCCTCCCCACCCCCAGGAGACTACTTATTAGACTTACGCAATGCAAGATATTAAAAACACTTTTGTCTGTCACACAGCCACGGGCAGGGGAGGGGGAATTTGCCAGTTGCTAATGGATACCTGGAGTTTTTGTGTATGACCATGAAGAACAGCTTGTGCACTTTCACCCCCGATGTTCCCTGAATAACTTGGGTCTCATTTAGGTCAATAAGCCTTTATCAAAACGTCAGGAGTGAAAAATGTGTCTTGGTGTAAGCCGACTGGTCGTTCCCTCCAGTCACCGGAGTCTATAGGACAATCAATGTTCTCTAAGCTTGTCTGCATGTCACGCAAAGAGCTGGATGACAGTAACCATTGACTGCGTGTCTGTCGCATTGTCTTTGGGACAGCCCCCATTTGCATACTTGCCGGTGTGCCTGTTATCCAATGAACCATGGAGGGCCTTTAAAAAACATACGCGCACAACTCCGATGCAAATTTCCGATGCAGAGAATACACGCTTCTTTAAAGCACAATCCAGGCTTTCACTTTCTACCTTCTTGCTATAAAACTGAAACTGTGATCCTGACAAGGCCACGGTGCCTGGTCAGAATGCTGTTTGTGGTTTCATTGTGCTAAAACATTAACTTTTCTCTGGGTTTTTCTTTGCCTACCGAGATAATTTTTTTGTTGTTCTTTTGCTTTTGGTTATTGCTTTTGGGGATATCTGAATACTATTATCTGTGCTATCACATATGATGTGAGGCCATACATCCCTTCCTCAAAGTAGTTATGTTAAATGAAGGACAGTTTTGCTCCCTGTATGGTTGCTATTGTCTTTTGTTAAGGCAGTTTCCTCTGTGGTAGTGATTAAAGGAGACGTACTAGCCTTCTGCATACAGAAGAGTACTTGGATTTTAGAGTTTATTGACCATGTCTGTGAAACGAATACAATCACCTGATCAGAAAAGACAGCCTCTGGCACTTTATTTTGCCGTGACAACTCAACAGCACCTTGTGTAAAGCAGGGCTCATAATTTTGCCATTCACCGTAGGTTTGTAAATGACATTAGGCGAAATTGGACAAAGGGAGAGTTTCATTGCGTTTGAAGCTTCTGTCATGAGACACAGGATTTCCTTAAAGCATCTGCTGCAGATGCTGTTTCTTTAAATTTATTATGTTCATTATGACTTTATTTTATTGAAAAATATTTAATAGTAGTCCAATTTAAAAAAAATTGCGAAGGGTTCTGGTGGATCCTTTCAGAACAAAGCTGTAGAAGAGATTCTTGGCTGGGTCGAAGGGTCTGAGTTTCATGTTTATTACAACCAATGGTCTGGACAGTTTCATTATCTCTTGAAAATCTAACTGGGATACAAGTGACTATAAACAATTGTGATAGCTGTTCTGCTGCATCTGACATCTTGCACAGGTTATGAGATTGTCAAAACTAAGGATCCTTTCAGAACAAAGCTGTAGAAGAGATTCTTGGCTGGGTCGAAGGGTCTGAGTTTCATGTTTATTACAACCAATGGTCTGGACAGTTTCATTATCTCTTGAAAATCTAACTGGGATACAAGTGACTATAAACAATTGTGATAGCTGTTCTGCTGCATCTGACATCTTGCACAGGTTATGAGATTGTCAAAACTAAGGGCTTTTCTGGAAGTGTCATGGAGTCGAACTTCAACACTGTAGTGCCTCAAGATGAACAGTTTGTTATGCCATCAGGAGACTGGCATTTTAAAGCCACAAAAAGATTATAGCGAAGTCAACTGATGCATAACATTTTTCCCCCTCTTTTTGCTGTATACAGACCTATTATTTCACCCAGTATTCAGGGCAATGTCCCATTGTGCTGGTTTTGGATGGGATAATATGGGACTGTTTTGGATTTGTGCTGAAAATAGCGTTGATAACACAGGGATGTTTTAGTTCCTGCTGGCCAGTGCTGACACAGAACCAAGGCCTTTTCTGCTCCTCACCCCACCCCACCAGCGAGGAGGCTGGGGGTGCACAAGGAGTGGGGAGGGGACACAGCTGGGACAGCTGACCCCAACTGGCCAAAGGGATATTCCATACCATGTGATGTCATGC